AAAAGACATGTAGTTAGGAGCAGCTGATGATTAGAAGAGGAAGGTGGCAGTAGAAACCACTCCAGAGAAAGGCAAAAACAACATTAATTATTGTGTGAATGGAGAGGTGAGCAGGAAGAAAGTGAGCTGCACTAGCAGTTGCTGATCAGGAGGGGGAAAAGAGCAATCGGGACCATTTTTTTAACCTAATGTGAGATCATCTCTCATCTGATTTCTAGGATTGAACTAAACTGAACTATTTATTTCCCCAATATTTCAGACAAAATCAGGACATTACTGCAAAATGTCACCACTTTGGATAAATGCATTGGAGACCACAAGGAAAGTGAAATTAAAATACCCTATTTGCCGGCATATAAGGCGACTGGGTGTATAAGACGACCCCCTAATTTCCAACTTAAAACATAGGTTTTGGGCTATACTCGTCATATAAGACTACCCCACTTCCGAGGCAACACCATTTAAAAACATCATGGATGGATGTGCGGTAATACTGTATGTACGGTAGCTTCAGCTACATACAGTATACCGCGCTTGTGTTGTTGCTATAAATCATAAGAAAAAATGGACAAATTATATAAACAGAGAGAGTCAGTTATCTGTCACAAACCAAGCTTGCTTGGATTGGCAGAGGTTGTGTACATCGCTCGCCGTGATTGGCTCAGCTACTGTATGTAGCCGAAGCTACCGTACATACAGTATTACCACACATCCAGCGGGCTGACAGATTAGGGGTGTTCGTTTTCGGCCAGCTTGGCCTAAACGAACTAAAGGTATACATTGTATACCCCGCGTATAAGACGAGCCCCGATTTTTGGGGGATGATTTTAAGTATAAAAAGTAGTCTTATACGCCAGCAAATACAGTCGTTTTTAGGGTCCATTGACCTTTGAATTACTCCTGAGGGCCATGGAAGCTCCTTTCAACTATTCTAGACCTGTTCTCCCAAAATGGCTTTCATTAGCTGAATTGTTTTATGGTAAAAAAACACAAAAAAAAACAGTGAAATAAAATTGTAAACTGACTGTACACAAATATTTGTTAACTGCACAAAAACAAAGGTAAAACACAAATAAAGGCAAGGCTAAACAAAATAAAATAATGAAACTAACCTAAATCCATTCTTAAAGTGCACTTATTCTTTAAGTCCTTGGTTCTCAACTGGTGGAGCGTGACCCAAAAGTGGGTCGCAACTCCATGTTCAGTGGGTCGCCGCATTCCTTCCACTTCTCTAGGTGAGAGGCTCCTCAGCCGCCCCTAGTGCAGCTCTGTCAGTTCTCGCGCTGAGCAGCCACTCAAAATATGCTGCCAGCGTATGTGTGTCAGCTTCAGGTGGGGTGTTCTGGGGCTATGGCCGCGAGGGAGCTCCATCCATACATGTATTGTTTACAGCTCCCTCACGTGTCCTGTAGAGGTGCCTGGACCGGAATGATGTCACATTCTGTCACCCCATGCTAAGAATCCACTCCAGTTCTCGTAAGGAAGAGAGACTGGGTGGACCTTAAAAAAAATAAAACATTTTTTTGGAGTGTGTATGAGTGTGTGAGAATGCCTGTGAGTATGAGATTGTGTCTGTGTATGTATGCCAGTGTTTTTGAGGGCCGTTCACACTACTACAGTCTGTTAAACTATACCACGCAATCGCACCTACCATGCATTCTGGTGTGGAAGGTGTTTTGCGTTGCCATTCATTTGAATGGTACCCCAAACGCACCTCCCATCCACAGTACGGACGCCCCCACCAGAACGTGCGGTACACTAATGCTGTGCATTTCATTGCAGTGCAACTTGGGTCGCGACTTAATGACCAAGGACAAATGTGGGTCCTGAGGTTACACAGGTTGAGAACCACTGCTTTAAGGTATTGCAACATTTTCATCCAAAGCGATCACCTTATCTTGCCACCGTGAATAGACTTAACCTTAGTCCTCTGCTAGTCTCTAATCCCAAATAAATTATTTATTTGCATAAATAGGTTGCCTACCAAAATTTTGTCTGGAAGACTTAGATCCAAAGAATATGGTTGTCAGGGAGGATTAACCCCCTTTACAGCATATCTAAGGAATTCAATTCATTATATTATACAACACCTGAGCATCAAGTGATAATCTTGTTTGTCCTAAAGTTTGACCTATTCCCATTCTCCCTGGTTCCAATTGCTCACTTCTGCTTCTTTGTACATCTTGATGCCAGCTGTCTATACTAAGCAAGAGGAAAGGTATGAGCGAACAGCTGCCACTGGGGACAGTGAAACAGTGCTGCAGCAAGAATCAAAGTGCATCTGAAGGTCTTCAGCTGTTCATTATATTACAAATGCATGATTATTTCAATGCCTCACCCTGTCAAGTGAAAGATACTGCACAAATTCAAACCAATGTTATTGTTATAGTATTAACCCAATCATCAACCTATCTGCAGTTCAAAGTGTAGGATACATCTTGAGAAAGAGTGCAGAAAACACAAGAAATGTTGTTGGCCATAGTTGCTTTATCTAAGCTTTCCAAGCTGCAGCATAAAGGAAATCAAGTCTATGACTACCCACAATTCTTTAAATTGTCTACTTCATACTAAACATAAGATTTCATACTAAGCACCAACATTTGGTGAATACATATGGAAGCCTGGATGTGATCTTCATAGACAACCCGGAGCAGTAGCAGAAGTCTACCTGTTGCCTCCCTCTGGGCATAAGTGCCATACACTCACTTTTGAACCACTTTAAATTTAACAACTTCATGCCCAAGCAACTTCTGGGTGTTGGGTGGGGTGAGGTCTACTACCAGCACAGGACTCTGGGCAAAACATTTTCTGTAATGGCGGAAATCTTTTATACTGATGCATAATTAAGGGATAGCCTCCTTTTTTTCCCAGGACAACAAAAAAAATCTATTGCTGTGGTAGAAAATACCCACAACATTGCACATCTTGCCCTGAACCTTGGATTGTTGCTAGAGACGCACAAACAAAACAGTGAGTTATATCCATATGTGGCAGGCTTTCCAAATATTTAAAAATTCTGGGCACATCTGAAATAAATCCCATCCCTCAGATGAGAGTCTCGCAAGACTCTTCTCACAAGATTTTGACTGCTCTGTATTCACTATGATATAGCCAGCCCAGAAGGAGTGTGATGTGATCCTCACCTATGCACTGCAGACAAAACAGTGGAGTAAGATAAGTATAAATCTAACTTTCCTCTTTACAGACACACTTTGCACCTGCTAATACCAGTGAATTTTTACAGGGGGCGGGTGCCAGGACAGTGTATGCAGTATCTGTTTGAAGATTGTCATTACTAAACATTTCTAAAGGGGTCTTTGTTGTTATTTTTAAGATATGGATAAAGGTCCACTTTAAAGAACCTGTCATATGTGAACTAACCATAAAATGTACACAGTACCTAATTTACTGTGTATTCTAACACAGTCAAAATCGTTTTTAATAGTCGTTTGTGACAGATAACTGACTCTCTCTATTTATATAGTTTGTCCATGTTTTCTTATGATTTATAGCTACAACATATTCGGTAGCACTTTACAAAATACATAGAGTCCCGGTCATGCAGGCAAATATACCCAGTAGAGCAGTGGTTCTCAACCTTTCTAGGGCCGGGACCCCTTGGTAACATTTGCCAAGTTGTGGTGACCCCAAAGGTAAAATTTAGGGATGACGCGGCTCCTGCAGCGATATCTGGAGGCGTGGCAGGAGAACTGACACTGCTGCGCTAGGAGAGAGCTGAGGAGGACTCTCACCTTGCACACAACCCACAGGTTGAGAACCACTGCTATAGGCAAAGACAGGACTGGGCTCTCCAGCTGGAACTAGAAGAATTGGATTTAAAGTGTGTGGCTATATAACGTATGAGGTACATACTCCACAGTACTGTCACTGATAGGGATGGGCTCAGGCGTGTTCGCAGCTCCACGTGCCGAGCCCGCCAGGAAGCTGACAGCGCGCAGTGCCAATCACAGGCACTGAGACATTTCCCGATCTCTGCAGCTGCGAACCGGGAAAATGGAATGCATAGCTAGAGGTGTGTTTTACATATTTTTTTGGTTGAATACATACATATTGCACCCGCCCTCTGCTGCTGTCAATCACTAGAAGGGGACCTGATGGAGAACTTCAGGTCCCCCTCTGCTGATTGGCAGCATCAGAGGGTGGGTGAATAGCTAGTTTGCTATTGGCTTTTGCAAAGTGAAATAGCCAATAGGAATCTAGCTATGCAATCCTATGGTGGTTTTTTTTTTCTGACTTACGGCGGCCCCCAATTTAAAAAAAAAAAAAAAAAAACAGAGCAGAGAAAGGTCCCGACCTTTCCGGGAGAAAGTGTTTTTCTCGGCCGAGAGCCACTAGGCGACCCCTGGCAAATCGTAATTCGACCCCCGAGGGGGTCCCGACCCACAGGTTGAGAACCACTGCAGTAGAGCTTGCATGGCTGGATGTTGATCAACCTACCAGTATATTTCTAAGGAATAGGAAAACACAACACGTGGAGTGCATATAAACTAGATAGTACCCCTGGTTATTCCACTTAGTTCTTTAAGGGATGGATGCTAACCAATAAGTCACTGTGCATGTTTAAAAGTTGGTAATTTCATGTGGCTAGGATATATGGCTACAATGTATTCATGTGAAGAATACATAGAAACAATGAAGAAGGGTGCACGGTGCATGGCATCTAAAGTTTATATCAAAGCATCATCAAGCGGCTTCTTCTCATTTATTATGTTACTCCTAGTTCTTTCACACCTTATCCTGGGTATCCTATGTCAAGGACAACAGAGGGGTATCTTTCTGAACGGCTCCAAACAAAGCTTCCTTGAGGTATCTTGTGTCTTTAAAAAACAGCCAGTGATACATGATATGTTGCAGCAATTTCCTTTTTCAGTTCATTACATATATATGATATTACCCATTCTATCTTGATTCTCGGACATCTGAAGCACTGAGAAGAAAGTGAAGGCATATTCATAACTGTCAGACATTTACTACATAATATGGCATTGCTGAGTGTCTGTGGCTGGGATGGAGAGTCTACAGTTCAACCAGGAGAAAGCAATCCTCATTTATTTCCAAATTTCATTTTAGGTCATCCTCATCTCCTTCAACCTGCTGACAAGCTTTCTACTTCTCACCATCGCAGCACTGGTCCCCCACCACCAGCACATGGCACTACCACCCTTGCCTTTCTGTATGCAGATGGTGTTGCTGTTGCAACAGACTCTCGTGCCTCCGCTGGAAATCTTGTCTGCAGCCCTGACAGCCGTAAAGCATTTGTTATCCACCGTCATTTGCTGGCCACCACTTCTGGGAGTTCAGCTGATTGCCATTTCTTTGGACGAGCTTTGGCCAGAGAGTGCAGGCTCTACCAGGTGCGGAATGGGTACATGCCAAGTGTTCGAGGGGCAGCAAAAATGTTGAGCATCTTAATGATGCCATTCCGTGGAACAGATGTCTGTGCTGCCTTTACATTATGTGGATGGGACAGAGATGGCCCTTGCATCTGTTATGTATATAATGATGGGACTCGTCTCAGCTCAGATATCATCTCAGTTGGATCAGGTTCTCCATATGCATACAGCATTATAGATGAGGGCTACAAACCTGGAATGAAGGAAGAGGAAGCCCGCCAATTAGCTAGAAGAGCAGTGTGCCATGCAGGCCGAAGAGATGCCTATTCTGGTGGACTAGTGGATGTGTACTGGGTGAAAGAAGGAGGCTGTGAAATGGATCCAAGAGAAGACTTGGCGCAACTTTATGAACGTATAGTAGAAGAAACAAATGCTGAGAAACAAACCTCAGCAGCTGCCCCCTCCTTACAAAACCCTATAAACCGTTAGTGTGGTCCAAAAAAGGTCTCTTTTTACAACCGCATTGTTTATTTAATGGGTTGTAAAGTTTCTATTCACCAATGTTTTTTTCTACTAATGAATTTTATTCAGCTTTTAACTGAAGGTGCTTTGAAAGCATCAGTGCTTTCACTTTGGTATTGTTACTTTTCCAATGTGAATACAGGTGCGGATCCTAGAGAAGACTTGGTACAACTTTATGAGCATGTGACAGCAGAAGAAAAAAGAATGTTGAGAGACAGAGCTCAGCAGCTGCCCTATCCTAAATCCTGACTAAAATCCAATAAACCCTATTAGCATTTAACATGATAAAACAAATATAATAGCAATTACGATGACCATGTTGTTTAATGTGCTTTAACATTTCTCTGTGCTGATTTTTCCCCATGAATCAATTAACCTGAAAATGATAGGCTGCGTTTTTATGTATTTAAAAAGTCATAGCATATCAGCATATTCAGTTTCATATTTCCAATGTAAACACAGGTGAGTCTGGCAAACAAAGGAGGATATTTTTTTAGCACTTTTCATAAAATCAGCTTGAGTTGATAAATGTTAATTTAATGTTAATTTAATGTTTGGCAAAGTTTAATGGAAGAGGAGAAATATTTTCCTTTCCTGAAGAAATGTTGCTTTCAAACTTCCTCCAGTGCTAGACTTATTTGGAAAAGCCTTGGCATTTGATCATGTGATCTCTGCTAAAGTGGAGGATTACAGATGATCAGAGAGACTGATTGATGCTCTCCTTCCTGAGCCTCCATTGACATATAGCGTTTGCGTTTACCGCACGGTTTTCCGTGCTGAAGACCGCACAGCAAGCAACCGCTAAAATCTTTACAACTGCACGGATTTCGTTCGAACATCCGAAATCCGCCCCTGAACTCGCGCTTGTACTATTTTGCGGGATGCACGGTCGCCGCAAAAGTCTGAACAATGCACATTAAAGTGCATGGTTTGTTATGTTTAGAGCTGCTCCGTGTGTATTCGTATGGCTGAATGTGTGCGGAATACTGCTCCTGTGTAAATGGAGCCTAAGAGTTCATGTATCCAGATGCCTTGGGTTTAGGACACTTGGCTGACAGCAGAATGCACATGGAGCAGCTTTTTCAACAGGAACGGTAAGCTTTTTAGCCTAATACTCTTTATTAAACCATGCTGGTGAGACTTCATGTGGGTATCCTTGAAATTTGTATTTCAGCACAGTAGTATTATTTCTTGGGCCACAATGTCATTCATAGATATTTTGTTTTCTATTACTAGATAGATATTTAATTAGCTTTCCAGAAAATTATCTAACAGCCAATAGCTGCTTTGTACTCTTGACAAGCATACAACCATTTTGGTGCTATAAAAAAA